ACTCAGAAATCCACCTGCCTCTGCCTCCTGAGTGTTGGGATCAAAGACATACACCACCACCACCTAGCTTGAGTAAGCATTTTTTTTTAAACCTAATTTAATAAACATGCTAATTTTGGGGTGGGAAAGAAAGAATAATGTTAACAATAGGATTCTTGATCACCTGCTTGGCAGCACATTGGCAAGGGCCCACAAAATAACTGCAGTTCAAGACCAGGCCTGACCCTGCCAGTTAGCTAAGGCAGGAAGAACAGTGAGAGGGTGAACTCTAACCCGAGGGCCTAGACAAAGTGTCCTCATCCACAGCCTTTGGACAGAGGGCTGGGTGCCAGAAATGGAACTCATATCAGAGGCCTTGAATGCAAAACTGACTCATCATTGATTCCTACTCAAGTTGAACCCCGGAGGCCATATAAAAGTCAGAGGCAAGAACTGGCCTTACACAGCAGATGCCTGATCTCCACAGTGTGTCATGGCACATGTCTTCTCTACAGCCCAGTAATAACACAATTTAAAAATATTCACTTAGCTTTTTTGTGTGAGTGCTTTTGCCTATGCACATATGTTTCCATAAGTATGCCCAGGAGAACAGGAATGACAGGACAGGAATGACAGGAACCCACAGGACTGGAGCTAGATAATTGAAAGCCACTATGTGGGTGCTGTGGAACCAATCTCAGGTCTTTTACAAAAGCAATTCTCTAGCACAATAATACATTTTTAAAAAGAGCAGGGGGCAGGGGCGCTGAGGACCAGATGTGATGGTACTCATCTGTAATCCCAGTACTCTGGGTGCAGGGATGCTGAGGACCAGATGTGATGGTATGTTGAGGGAGCTGCGGGTTGCATTCCGCCACCCGGCTCCCGCCACCGCTAGCTTTACCCGAAATAACAACACACAAACTGTATTCTTTTAAACACTGCTTGGCCCATTATATCTAGCCTCTTCTCGGCTAACTCTAACACCTGGACTAGCCCATTTCTAATAATGTGTGTAGCACCCCAAGGTGCGCTAACCAGGAAGATTCTAGCCTACGTCCATCCTGGGTTGGAGCTTCATCGCGTGTGCCCCAGAGAGGGGAGCATGGCCTCTGAGCTCACTTCCTCTTCCTCCCAGCATTCTGTTCTGTTTACTCCACCCACCTATGTTTTAACCTATGATGGCCAAGCAGTTTATTTATTAATTAACCAATGACCTTCCTCCATCATTTCCCCTTTTTCTGTTTAAACAAAAAAAAAAGGGAAGGCTTTATTTTAACATAGCAAAATTACACATAACAAAACAGTTATCAAGTAAAAATTACAATAATCTTTATCATAACTAAGGAAAACTATAACTATTCTTCAACTCCATCAAAGACTCCAGAAAGATACAATATTACCTAAGCAAACAAGAAATAAGCAACTTCCAAACTCTAGAAATGACAAAGACATCTATCTAGCTGCCTGGACAGTCACCCAAAGTTCTTTTGTACCGCTGGGGGCATCCATCTTCGGCCTTCAGGCCCATAGTATCCAGAGACATTTCCATGAAGGAGGAAATTTCAAAGGCAGTTCAGTCACTATCTGCTGTGTCCTGCAGAATGTCTCACAGACTCTTTCATGAATCAGGAACCCCGAAAGATCATCTCACCTTTAGGCAAGTTTAGTAGTCCTCTCTCTGTGGGTTCTCTGTGTCCAGTTTATGCAATAGTTCAGGCAAGAGCAGTTTCTTGCCCAAATGGCTATCAAACTCCATAAGGATCCTCTTCGATGCCCATCTTTTTCTTGAAGTAGATTGGTGCTGCCAGGAGCAGATGTGTCTCATTGTCATGAAAACCCCTAAGTTATTAAAATATTTAAAATTCCATATTCTGTAGCCTTTGAAAGATATGAAGAATGCCTATCTAAAATATATCTATGTACATCTAGAAAAATCTTAACTAACATGACTACAAGCTTGACTATTATTGATTATCCATTAACAACCTATATACATTACATTTTTAAGTGAACTACACAATCACAATACCTTAATCAATATCAGAAATACATATACATATAACAAAATTGACCTTAAATCTCTATCAATAATGGTACTCATCTGTAATCCCAGTACTCTGAGGCTAAAATAGAAGAATCACCATTTTGAAGTCAGCTAGGACTACATAGGGAACTCTGGTTGAAAATAAAAATAGGACTGGGGATGTAGTTCAGTGCTAGAGCATGGGCTGAGCACATAACAATGAAAAAAGATCCATAAAGCTGAAAAGAAAAGAAAGGAAAGTGTGGATGGAGTCAACAAGAAAATATGGTTCTCCCACAGAATCAACTAACCTGGGCTCTTAGGGGATCACAGAGCTTGAACCGCAACCAGCAAGCTTGCATGGGACTGACGTAAGCACTCTACATTGAAGTCATAGTTGTGTAATTTGGTCTTTTTGAGGAACTCCTAACAGTGGAACAAGGGCTGTCTCTGACTCTGTTACCTGCTTTGGGGACCCACTCTCCAACTGGGTTGCCTCATCCAGTCTTAGCAGGGGAGGAAGTGCCTATTCTCACTGCAACTTGACAGGCCTTGGCTGGGAGGCCCACCCTTTTCTGAAGAGAAAAGGAGAAGGAATTTATGGGAGTAGGAAGAGAGGAGGTTGGGGGGGGGGTGGACTGGAAGGAGAAAAAGGAGGGAGGAAAATTTTGATTGGGCTAGAAAAAACATTTTAAAAAAATAAAATACAGTTCTTTGAGCAGGCGTTGTCATGACTGGCTATGAAGACTAGGACGACTGAACCTCCCTCTCTCACGTCTCCGTTATTCTGCAGAATATAGTCAAAATCCTAAGAAAGCTGGAGCAAGGAAAACCACACAGAAGCAGCTCCGGAGACTAGCTTTTCTGTCTGCTGAGCAGGCCTTTCTCAGACAGCATGTTCTGAGAAGCACTCTTACTGCTCCGAATACTACTCTTGAAATGGCGTTTATATGGTCTTAGCCACAAGGACGTTGGCTTCCCATGACTGCCCGAGGTGGTTGGCTCTTCACTCCTCGATGACTAACCCTTTGTAGAACCTGAGTCACTGCCGCAGCAGGTATAGACTGGTCTGACTGCCTAACTTGAAGGGTTAGACTCTGACCTCAGTCATCACGGCTTGTCAAGTAGGCTTGCTGCTAGGAACTGAGTGGGAGGACCTTGGATAGTCCAGAGACTTAATCATGAACTAAGTTTTGTGGCCTTTCCTGTGGAGATGTAAACTAATGTCTATCCATTTCAGATAACACACTGACAACAGACCAAAGGTAATTCCAGCAAGTCCAGCTTAGTGATGCAGTTTATTGGGTCATTTATGATGTACTCGAGGTTACTTAGAGGAGCATGGATAACTCAAAAACAGATGCATCCTCTTCAACACACTCCAGCATGGCGATGACTCTCTCAAGCCACATCTTTGAAGCTCACTGCACAAGTTCTAGCAGATTCCAGAGGCTTCTCCTTTGCAGATGCTGACCATTTTTACATTGTTAGGGAGGGGAGGGCTTGTAAATCTCAGGAAGTCTAGTACCTTCCTAAACCTTATGTTTCGTTTATTTTCTGAGTCTCTATGTTTCCTTTACTTACTAAATCTTGGGTGCTTCTGGCTTCTCTCCTCCCTCCAGAGAGTTTTCACAAGTCCTCAGTACCAAAAGAAGAAAACATTTTGGTTTTTTGGTTTTGTTTTTGAGACAGGGCTTCTCTTTGTAGACCAGGCTAGACTTGAATGCAGAGATACACCTGCCTCTGCCTACTAATTGCTAGGATCAAAGGTGTGTGCCACCAACACCCAGTGTGAGAGTTTTACCAAGAGACTGTCTAAATCATGTTGGTCTGTAGAGGATTGTCTTAACTGTATTAATTATGAATGACACCATTCCTTGGGGTTTGGTTCTAGACTATACAAGTATAGGCAGTGGGCTGAGCAGAAGTAGGCATGAGTGCATTGATTCTTTCTTTGCTTTTTCTGTTGTTCTTTTTATTAGTTTATGTGTCTGGGTTTTTGCCTTGCATGTATGTGTACCACATGAGTACAGTCCCCCTGGAGACCAGAAAAGGGTACTGGATTTCATGGGACTTGAGCTCCAAACAGTTGTGAGCTGCCACGAGTATGCTGGGAATCCAACCCTGTCAGTGCTCCCAAGCACAGAGTCATTGTTCCAGGCCCTCCTTCTGCTCTGGGCCGTTACTTTGACTGGCTGCTTCAAGTTCCTGCCTTGACTTCCAGCAATGATGGCCTCTAGGCTGGACCCAGGAGCCAAGGAAGCCCTTTCTCCTTCACAGTGCTTTTGTCAGGGTGTTTATCACACTGGCAGGAACAGAACCAGGACATCACGGAACTCCTCAAATGTATTAACCCCACAGTAACTCCATCTGGTGAGAGGAGTTAGATGAAATTCCAGAGAAAGAACTTAAAATAAGGATTGCAATAATTAGACTAGAAACACAAATAGCTGAGCCAAATAAGAGGCAATCAGCCAAGCAGTGGTGGTGGACACCTTTAATCCAAGCACTCAGGAGCCAGAGGCAGACGGATCTCTGTGAGTTCAAGGCCAGCCTGATCTACAAAGTGAGTTCCAGGACAGCCAGGGCTACACAGAGAAACCTTTTTTTTTTTTAATGCTCCGCCCCCAAAGTAAAGAAAAAAGATTGATCCTAGTAGGGTTGGAGGGAGGAGATACGTTAGGAGGGCACAGCTGGAGCTGAGCAACGTAGAATGGCAGGAAATGATCTGGAGAAGGCACGACCGGCAAGCCAGACACGGGGGTGTTACACATCAGAGGCTGTGGTGGCCCGGGTGTCACCACACTGTAGTCTTCCTAAAGCAGTATTCAAGCTGATCTTCACCGTCATTCCTCGTGTGTCAAGTCGGATCTCCTAGGGCAGGCGTTATTCAGTAACCTATTTGATGGTCACCGCACCCTAGGTCATGCCTTTCCTGAGCCACCTGATTTACCGGGGCCCTCTAGCTCGCAGTCACCTGAGTGCCACGCCTCCCTGGCCAAACATCCAGCCAGCGCGCTAGGCTTTGTTCCCAGAAACAGGTTTCCAAAACGCTGCTCCTTCTCGGCTCCAGTTGTTTTCTTGCCGAGTGCAGGAGGCCCGAGAGCGGCGGCTGCAGTCGCCCGGCTGCTGCTTTGTGGCCCAGGAAGGACCTGACCCACTGCCTCCTCAGCCTCCTCCTCGAACGCGGGAGCCAGCACGAGCGGCTCACGGCGGGACCCTCGCGAACGCACTCCTGATTGGCTGCCCCCGGAGACGTCAACGGGAGGCCCCCCGCGGTGGGGTAGCGCCCGGCTCCGCGCGTGCGCAGAGGGAGTGCGCTGGACCAAGGGGGAGGTGCCCGGCCGCTTCTCCCGCGTCCGCCATTTTGTTGCTGTGGCTATTGGGAACGGGCTGGGTGAAACGGCCCGGGAGGCGCGACTCTCGTTGGAGTAGGCTGCTTCGGGTGACGGCGAGGGTCGCTGCGGGCTCCTGAGGCTGCGGAGCCGGCGGCTTCCAGGACAGAAGTCACCGGAGCCACCTCTGGACGCCGGGTAGCCGAGAAGCCCGAGGCGGCCTCCGCTACTGCTCCGCTTCACCCACCTCGACCCCGGGGCTTTGCCCAGTGTTCCCTGGCCGGCTCTTTCCGTGAGGCGGCCCGGTGCAGGCGGGCGGTGGCGGAGGATGCTGCGGGGCCCGGAGCCGAGGGTGAGGTCCTGACCCAGCCCTCTGATTGCTCTTCCGAGAGGCCCTTCCTCGGCCCCAAAGCCGACAGCGGGTAAAGGCTTCGCGAGCAGGCGAGAGCAGCAGACGCCGCCCATCCCCGGACCCCAACACCATGTCGTCCGCCAGGTTTGATTCTTCAGACCGCTCTGCCTGGTACATGGGACCAGTGTCTCGCCAGGAGGCGCAGACCCGTCTCCAGGGCCAGCGCCATGGCATGTTCCTAGTCCGGGACTCCTCTACCTGCCCCGGGGACTATGTACTGTCCGTGTCCGAGAACTCGCGTGTCTCGCACTACATCATCAATTCCCTGCCCAACCGCCGCTTTAAGATCGGGGACCAGGAGTTCGATCATTTGCCGGCCTTGCTGGAGTTCTACAAGATCCACTACTTGGATACTACCACCTTAATCGAACCAGCGCCCAGGTACGCCGTTCTCTGGCTCGGAACCTGACCCGATGCGGAGGGTCGGTCAAATAATTGAATTTTGAGGGTGGGGGAAATTGAACTTATTTTTCGCATTCTAAACCAGAAGACATTCGGATTGGAAGGCCAGTGTCAGGATCTGGGTCACTGGATGGAAGGATGCTTTTTTATTTAGACATTTAGCTGTGATTGTATTGTTCAAATGCACCCACCGACACATATACACAATTTTGCCACTTTGGCTGACTGTAATACTAATGCAGAATTCTTTTTAACGACATTAAAAAGTCTGTAGACTTCCTTCAGAATCCAAAGATAGCCATGACTTTCTCCCCTCGAAAATTCACGGAAAGTTTGTACACCATTTAAGGTTTTTGGAAGCCCTGCATCTCAACAGCTAACTGCAGGTTAAGAACTGGCCACGGCCTTTGCAAAATCGTTAAAATGAACCGAAAACGTAGAAATCTGAAAATCTGATGACGACCTTGAAGTAGCACCCCTCCTTTTAAAAAAAAAAAAGAAGACTAGGATTACAAAGGAAAGAGGGTGAGATTATATTTGAGGAAATTTGTATCATCACCTCCCTTCCCCAGGGTGGGAAGTGTATTTACTTTAATTCCACGTTAATTTAGTTTTAGATTTTTTTTGATAATTAAATTTAGTAACTTAACATATTCTTTAAAGAAACAGTACAGTTGGATGAGCGAGGTGCACACCCCTAGCTCCCCCACCCCCAAGAAAAGAGGACCTTGGGTTCCAAGCCAAATTGGGCTATAGCTAAACCATGTCTTAAAGGAAAAGAAAAGAAAGAAGCTGATCACTTAAGTGTTTCAAGTAAAATGCATTGCTTTATAATTTGCTTTAATTTCCCCCAATGAATATCATATTAAATTATATCAAATGATACCAAATGTGAGTTGAAAAAGTAGAGGCTTTCAAAGGTATTTTACTGCCTGGTTTATTTCTAAGCTATTTTCTAAAAGGGATTGAGGATTGATTTAGACTTTTCAGGGTGAAGTGACTTCATAGAATTGCTAAGGGGGTAATTTGCTCCTAACTTTGAAGTTGAAAAGGTACTGTACTTCATTAAGGACACCTACTAAAAGCCAAAGGATAGAAGAAGTAGTGTAAAATTAACTGCCAAAGTCATTGGAGTAAACAAAAACGTGGAGAAGGGGCTAGGCTTGATGGCTTGGTGAGTGAAAGTGTTTGCAGCCGAAGAAGCTAGATGGCCTGAGTTGGATCCCCCAAACCCACATAAATGTGGAAGAGAGAGAACCGACTCCTCAGAGTTGTCCTTTAGCCGCAATATATGTGCACCATGGCAAGTGAGTATTCGCACACATCAATAGTTTAAAAAATGTAAAACCCAGAAAGTGTCTGTAAATAGTAGTCTGTACTGTAGAGATGAGGATACTAAGAACTCTGTGCCACGTGTAGGTTCTGGTAGATGCTGGCAGGTGCTGTCACCTTTAATAATTTCAGTCTAGGAGCTTGGATAAACTTAGGAAGTATAATGTTTGGTAATATATTTAAGTAAATTACCTAATTTGTGAAAGTGAATTATATTATTGACTTTAAACCTTTATTAAAATATGCTTGCAACAATGTAACAGGTGTTGGAGAAAGTCTAAGTTAATTATTAGATTTCTCTCAAGAAGGAAAAGTATATACTGCAATGGCTTCCTGTTATCCTTAAACCTAATTCTACTTCATATGTCTTCTCAGTACCAATGTATTTCTGTATTACCAATGAAATTTTCTGAAATTTTTCTTAGCTCTACTTGACACACTTTGGTATCTTTTCTGTCATGCTCAATTTCCAAATGAAAATAATAACTAAGTCATAATTATTTCTAACATAACTATCCTTTGTACAACTGCAAAAGCATTATAAATTTTAGAATAGAGGGCAATGTCCCTTGAGAGATATTCTTTTAGTGTCTCAAAACTTAAATATGATAATTACTGATAGTCTCTTGATGTTATATTACATGATAAAGAAATAGAGGGAAAATCACAAATATCTGTACCAACACATACTTAACAAAATATGGTAGAAACACATGTGTTGATTTTAATCTTTGTCACTACAACTGGTCAGGTGGCCTTAGCTGGTATTTCTAACTACCTTTCTCCATTCCGTATTTCCTCCACCCTCAGCAAGCATCTGACAGGTATTGGCTTTTCCTGGAAGAGTAACCCATACCTTCATTCCTGAAGGGCCCGTGTCCTTTGTCATCCTGCCTGGATCAGGTTGTTGTAGTTTCCTATTGGCGTGAATCACAGGACACGGTAGGACTAAGAAACACCCTAGAGGATCTTCTACACTTCAGACATAATCTGTCTTCCTCCACTGGGGAGAAGAAATCCAATTTCCCCTTGGTAATCTGGGTCAGTTGCCCCTCTTAACATTGTTATGTCTTTCTTAGCCTGTTGGCTCAAGGGTATCAGAAGCCCACAGTGGCCAGGGGAAGTCTGTGCTTCCAATCGAATGGGAATGTTTGTTGTATCTCCTGGCAGGAGCCCTTCCCCATCTGGAACCAAAACTTCTAGGCCAGCAGAACTTAAGGTTGCAGGAACAGGAAGCAGAAATGTTCCTGGCGGGTCATTAGGGGTGATAGTGGAACCATTTTCTCTTCCTCCCCTTGATTCCTGGACTATGGATCTTGGCTATGAGAGAAACCGTACTATATGTTGGATGCTGATTCAAACCATATGCTGCCTTGAGAATCTGCCCCAGCTCTCCAGGCTGCTGCCACCTAATTGGTGCTATAGCTATGTTTTCAAAAGACTGTTCCATCTTTCTGTCAGGTCAGGGGCTTCAGGATGGTGGGAAATATTATGAGACTAGTGGATTCCATGATCATGAGCCCACTGTTGCTTATCTTTGGCTGTGAAGTGAGTTCTTTGGTCAGAAGCAATACTGTGTGGAATACCATGTCGGTGCATCAGGCATTCCATCAATCCATGGATGGGGGTTTTGGCCAAAGCATTGTTTGCAAGAAAGGGAACTCCATAACCAGAATATCTTTTCTAACCTATTACAATGCTTTATCCTTTCCACAGAGGAAGTAACCAGTGTAGACATCGTGCTACCAGGTTGCTAGCTGGTCATCCTGGGGTATGGTGCCATATCAAGGGCTCAATGTTGGTCTCTGCTGTTGACAGATCTGGCACTCAACAGGAACTGTAGCCAGGTTAGCCTTGGTGACTGGGAGTCCATGTTGTTGAACCCATGTATAACCCCATCTCTGCCACCTTGTCCACTTTTTTTTGCGGGCCCATTGGACAGTGTCAGGGATTACTGGGAAAAAAGACTGACAATAGAATGGGTCATCTTACCTACTTGATTATTGAACTCCTCCACTGTAGAAGTCACCTTTGATAAGTGTTTACATGGGACACAAGCATCTTCACATCCTTCACCCTTTTAGAGATATCTATTTACATACTTCTCCAAAAATCTTTCTTACCGATTTTCCAGTCATGCTCTTTCCAAGTCCCTGACCATCCAGGCAATCCATTGCCTACAGCCTGTGAACAATCACACATCTGGTCATTTCTCCTTCCAACCAAAATGTATGACCATGTGTACTGCCTGAAGTTCTGCCCACAGTGAAGATGTGTGGCCTTTAGGTTGTCCCAGAAAGGGGTTATAATGCTGCAGCTGTCCACTTTTGGTTGGTGCCTGCATAGCATGCAGAACTATCAGTGAACCAGGCCCTAGTCTTCTTTTTCTGTCAACTAACCATAGAGCACAGCCCATGAGGCTACAGGTGCATGCTGGAAGCAGACAGCATTGTAGCTGGCATAGAAAACATAGGCATTTGGGCAACTTCTTCATGCAACTTCCTTGTGTCTTCAGGACCTGCCTGGGCCTGATCACATCTATATCACTTCAGTTTGCTTGCCATAGAGTGCTGCTGTGTGCGTCCTTCTTTATGGCTTGATGGGTCAGATGATACCCAGATCACAATGAGCAGCTCAGGTTGCATGGTAACTTGGTGACCCATTATCAAAGGTTCGGGTTCTACTAAGGCCCAATAGCAGCCAAGAGCTGTCACTCAAAGGTAGAGAGTAGTTGTCTGCAGATGACAGTAGAGCTCTGCTCCCAAATCCCAAAGGTCTCCTCTGTGGCTCACCTCCAGGGACCTGCCAAAGGCTCCAAACAGCATCCCTGTCTGCCACTGACACCTCAAATACCAGAGGGGTCTTTTGAGTCGTGTGGTCCAAGTGGTGGAGCAGCCTGAACAGCAGTCTGGACCCATTGAAAAGCCTCTGTTCAGGCCCCACACAAATCTAGCAGCTTTCTGAGTCACTTGGTGAATGGGCTGGTATACCACACCCAAGTGAGGAATGTTCTGTCTCCAGAATCCAATTGGGCCCACTAAACTGCGCGCTTCATTCTTAGTTGTGGGAGGGGCCAGGTGTAATAACTTGTCCTTCACCTTGGAAGGAATATCTCTGTAGGTCCCACACTACTGGACTCCTAAGAATTTCCCTGAGGTAGAAGGCCCTTGAATTTTGGTTGGATTTATTTCTCATCTGATGTGCATATATGTTAACAAGAATTCTAAATCTCTTGCTTGCTTGGTCCAGTGAACATAGTGTTGTCAATGCAGTAAACCAATGCGATATTTTGTTGAAGGGATCTCTTCAAATGAAATGATGACACAAGGCTGTAGATGTACATACTGTAAATGTATATTGCTGTCCTTGCCATCTGGAAGCAGATTGTGTGGTCCTTAGATCCATACATAGCTGCATATCCTGTACCAGGAGATGTGTTAATCCGCTCAAGTAAGGGCACCACATCTGGTACAGCAGTTGCAATTGGGGTCACTACTTGATAGGGTTTTTTTTGTTTGTTTTTTGTTTTTTGTTTTTTTTTGTTTGTTTTTTGGTTTTGGTTTTTTGAGACAGGGTTTCTCTGTAGTTTTGGAGCTTGTCGTGGAACTAACTCTTGTTGACCAGGCCGGCCTCGAACTCACAAAGAT